GGCCGACAATCACTTGGCCGACTCATCACTTAGCCGACACCACTTCGCCGACAAATTGTTTGGCCGACATGTACACTTCGCCGACAACTCATTTGGCCGACAAATATTTGCGATCAAAAATATTGAAATTTCTTGAAAATATTGCGTGGATTTTTCCCACTCATTCACCTGTAAATAGTGAACATTTTTCAAAATAAAATCAGACGACGATTTTTTATCAGTTAAAACAAGTCTCCCGCTAACAAACTGTTTCCCGTGAGATAAGTTCAATTTTCTTCGGGGCATTGCCCATAATCTTTCATTGTAAATAAATGTGACTTTTGATAAAAAGATTTTCTGACGCAATATTTTCAAGAAATTTCATTTTATTTTACTTCAAATATTTGTCGGCCAAATGAGTTGTCGGTGAAGTGTACATGTCGGCCAAACAATTTGTCGGCGAAATGGTGTCGGTCAAGCGATGTGTCGGCCAAGTGATTGTCGGCCAAATGATCCGGACCCTGCAAAAACCCATCTAACGATGTTACATGAGAAAATATGTCATTAAAGCTGACGGAAAATCCTCTATATTTTATCGCTAGCACTGAACTTTTTGATTGATTCTATCTTAATAAAACCATCAATCAAAAACTTACAATGTCCTTTGTCGTACCCCTTACAAGTGTCCACTTCTTCATCCAAAGCTGAAATGGCTACTACCAGCAGCTATAGCTCAAAAACCAAAACATTATCGTGCTTGCGGTGTAAGTTTGCCGAAAGTGACTTCGATTACAACAGTTGATATTGAAATTGATTTAATAAAAAAAAGTTTCCTGAACAGTTCATGGACGATGAATTAACAAAAGCTGAAATCGATATAAATATTAGGCATCACAAACTAGGCAAAGATAAAGAATGTTCAAATTTATATTTAATTTGGAATGAATATGGAAATCTTTTTCGAGATTTCTCTAAATCTTTATGTTGTATATATCTAATACCACGCAATTCAGCTTCTGTCAAGAGAGAACTTTCTGTAGCACGTGAAGTTATCAACCAGAGAAGATCTAATTTACATGTCACAATTGTGAAAAATATTTTATTTCTCCATTTGATAAAGAAAAACAAAGTAAAACATTGATTGATGACGAGCTATATTCTTTTTGTTCTATTGTGTTATTATATCTATTTTTTCCAATATAAGTCAAACGAATGATGTGACTAAACGGAAAAATATCTCATAAATACTTCACTAGGAAGTGAAGAAAATACAACTAAGGTCGGAGTTGGGTGGGACATAAAACCGCTCCCGTTTCGAGCTTTAGTTGACACTAATTCTTTAATAAACTTCAGGTCACCTTAGATACTTTATTTGACTGATTTTTATTGAAAATTGGGGTTTCAACGATTCAGAATCATGAACTCAAAGGTTTCGAATTTATAAAACTCTTGTAGTCATCAAAATTTCCAATTATTAGTTCTCTTCTCACTCGTTCTTTAGCTATAAGAAGACACATGAGGAATGCTCAATGTATTGATTGCGTCCACGACAAGTTTAGCAGCTTCCAAGGACACAGTGTATGCATTGGCCAAGATGTGGAACGAGACTATGAGAGGAACTTCAAACATAATTTGTCGCCTGTCCTACGAGCTAAATACTTCCTTGCTCAAATTGCGTAATTGTACGTACGACAGAGCCTCAGGGCCACATGGCTCACTAGTTTATGAGTGTGGGCTGTTGTGAAGTTGGATGTGTGTCATGACGTGAAGGATCTGTCATTTAACACTGATACTCAGTTGCTATCTGAGAGTGGATTAGTGTCGATGCGTATGTAAGCGTTGGGTGTAATCTGAAAAAAAATGGCACCGTACGGAACCTTTTTTGCAATGAAATCTAAATCTTTTTTTGAGGTTTCGTAATAACCCAAGATAGATTCAAAATGATTGTCAAAGCTCTAGGAATATTTTTTGAAGATTTCAAAAGTATCATATGAAACCTTAAAAAGGTTTTGATTTCGCTGCAAAATTCGAAATCTTTCTTAAGTTTCTTAGAGCACACGAAACTATCTTTGGTTCCGTATAGTACCTTACTTTTTTTCAGAGTGGGTACGAGTTCGAGCTGGTGCGCGGATATAAAAACTGCTGCGCGTAAGCTTGACTTCAGGCCTAGATTTGGAATTCAGGTAGAGTGAAGCAGTACCTATCAACAAGCTTTTGAGACTGTGAGCGAGGGGTGAGACTAATAGCATGAATGAGTGCGCATCTAGCTGTAAGTGAGAGGATGAAACTGTAGGTCTTGCTGTAATGTTTGGGTAAACGTGTAATAATGACGATAACTGGCTTTTAGTGGTGACCGTCCTATCAGTTATTGTCGGCAACTATTCTGTTGATAATCGGTTCTTGGTATAATCCGTCATCAAGCGATACCAGCTGGTAATAGGCGAATACCACTTTATAGTGGTTTATACTGAGTGTGTACAGCTAACACACATGAAGATGAGCAGTTTCTCGAAACTTCGAGTTTTTGTTTGCATTAACATATATTTTTCGTGAAAAAAGTATTCTTTTTGAAAAAAAAGCTTTTTAGCTAAAAAAATATTTTTTAAGAAAAAAATCAAACTCAGAATTTCAAAAAACCGATTACAAATTCGGATTACTCGATCCTGATTATCTTTGCTCATCCTTTATTTAAAAAAATGGTAACTTCTCTCTTCTATTTGACTAAAGCAACTCGCATATGCTCATGAGCATGAGCTATACATCTCTAATATATAGTGTTATAAAGCAGTAGGGTGCGGGTCTAGATTTACCAACATTTCCGCACGTGACATCTCCTCACCGACAGTTCCGCGCCGACATTTCCAAGTACGACACTTTCGCACGCGACACTGACCCGCAAAGCGAAATTTGGGGTGTAGGTGTGGGTGAGCCTGAAGGTGTGGCTGCTACTGTTTGTTTAACATCCATCTAAACCCCATCGCACACCCACACCCTTGTCGGTCCGTAGGTGTCCAGTAGAGTTGCTGCTCTGGCTTTGTCTGTGGGTGTGACGGAGGGGGGTGTGATTGGATGAAAATGTGAGTTATTATGTGATTATCGGCGTAGATATAAACGATCGATTTCGACATTGCCTTTTGTTTGAGTATATTAAGTGGGCTGCGTGATGTGGGATATAGTGAAACGGTACAAAATATGAGACGAAGAGGGTCTTTTTGAAGGTAAGCCTGTTCAACAACTTCAAGCGATCAAGTATGAACAAACAAATTGTTAAAAAAAAAGTTGGAATAATTCGGACGGCACAATGAACTTTGCCATCGTTTGATAAAAGTTTTGCGACAATGGATTCAGAAAATTTTTTGGTCTAGCATCTTTGCGTAACTCCTTGACTAATCTGCTTGATGCTATTAGCATCATGGATTCATATATATGTCATTCAGTTTAGTTCAAACGCGCAGGGGACTAATGAAATCATGTTGTGAACTGAGTTTAGCAAAAAGTGCCTCCTTAGTACGAAGATCAAAAATGAAACGCAACGGACAAACATCTACACAATTTTACCTGTGCAAATATTGGTTGTTTATGGCACTTCTGTTTGTCAGTTGTTTTAGCCATCATTTTTATCTGGCTTTCACGGTTTTTTTTCTTTCCTCTTCTCTTATTTAAGCAAAAAAAATGTTGCATGCTGTCGCTTTGTTGCACAAAGAATAATAGAAATTTCAGCGAAAGAGAATACCATCCATCAACATTCAAGGTTTCGTCAAGTGGATGACTTAAGAAAACAGTGACCGAGTAGAGATGAGTAGCTTTCTTCAAAACAGGCCTTGCACGACAGAAATCATTAATATGATTTGAATTCATATATGAATCTGTAGAAACACAAAAAAAATAAATTTTTATGAAGAAATGGTTGAATTCATATTAATAATGGAAGATGACGATGTTAGAGTAAGAGTGTGGATGTGGGTGTGGTGATGGGAGGATGCGCAATGTAGATGGCAACAATACTCACACTGACATGCACACCCACACTCACATACTAATCGCATCTTCATCTCGTAGGCTAATATTTGGTTCAGGAATTCTAATCAGTTGAAGATAATCTCATCGAATATGCTAAAAGAATAAAATTTTCTTTTATTTATTATTTAAATAATCAAATCTCTTGTAAATGTAGATGTAATTTAATTAGTAAAATTTCAATCACTTGATATTTTGCTTTATTTCTAATATTAAATCAACTATCTTGTAATCTTCGTGATTTATCTTTTCCTGTAATATTTAAACTAGATGGTATTTGTAATATATGCCATGGTTCCATAAATTGATTTCCAGTTATTATTCATAATGGAATTTCAACATAACAGATTCAACCAATATCATGCTCATTTATTTGTTTTTGTTTACGTTGCTCAATTTCTTGATAATTTTTTTACAACGAAGTATTGCATAACCTTTGATTTTATTTCAAAAAAGAATTAAACAAAAAAAAGAATTTGCTCAAATCTTGCGGTATATCTTTGAATGTAACATTTTCTGCTCAAAAAAGTATTTCAGGTCGCTCGTTACTTGTTGTTTTACCATAAATATCTTCATCCAAAAATATTGGATCATAATATCTATACGAAATAAATATATTCTCATATCTAGGTGTGGATGGGTGCCGGTGTGGGATGTGTCTGTGGATGTGGATGTAGATACAGCATTCTATTCACTTACACCCACATCCATCCCACATCCACACTCACACCCATACCCACATCCACACGCACACCCTCTAGAATGCTATTTCATCATTTCTGTATAATTTCTTCGTGCGTAATTACACAATTTTCATCACCATGTGTGTGTCAGAAAGAGCAGTGACGGTTAATATTTACGTACTTGCGAAACAGGATGCAACAAAACACTCATGACATCATATAGCTTAGCTTTTGAGAAAAAAACATGTAGAAGTAAGAGTTTTTATTTATATATAACACCAACATGAAAAACGAATATGCAGATACTGTCTATCGTTCGTAATGGACACATTCAAAGAATATAGTATTTGTTCTCTTTGTCTTTCAACAACATCCAATTATCTTCTCGATTGTGATCATTGTCAATTATCATTTTGCTATGAATGCCTGTTGGAACATCATCATACTAATCTTTATAATCGTCTGTGCACACAAATTCAGGATATCGACGCTATTGTCGCTCGGTTTATCGGTTATGCACACAGTCAAACTGAATGGGTTGATCACTTGACACATGATCGTCTTGATTTACAGATTTTTCTACGCTATATTCAAGAAACATCATCTTACGCTACTGTGAATTATTTGCCAACAGAAGTCTGGTTGGAACATGTTGACAATCTAATAGAAAAAGACCGTTTTGCTATTGATGAAGATTGTTCTTGGTTACTTGAAGAACCAAACGTCTAATTTCGACACCGAAAAAGTCAAAAAGCAGTCAAAATGGTGGGATATATATTTATACACCGTAATCGATAACTTCAGAGCCAAATCCACACTAATGACAAACAATATTTTTGGTGTTATTAAATGAATTCAATCAATGGTTTCCTTTTTACTGAAGCAATGAGTGTTATTAGAAAATTTCACTATAAAAGAATTCTACATTGGTTCGTCACTGACTTCTAGTCGATATTTTTGTATCAAAAATGTAGAATGCTGGTAAATAAAAGCTGGCAAAGTTTCGTTTGTTTAATCAGTTATTTGTCTTTGTGTAAATTGTTTGATTGAAATTGAGAATAAAGCAGAAGATGAGAATAAAATATTTATTCTTCACTCTTATTTGAACAAGAATATGAACAGATGATTCTATGACAGAGAAATCATAAAAGTAATTTCTCAGAAAAAGATTCCTAATATGCTTTCAAAAATTATTTTTCAATAAAGACTTTTCAAAAACGTAATCACATAAAATCTGGATCTCTTGCGATGTTGAAAAATAAGATCACAAGAATCTCTTTGGTCCTTTATTTCTACAGGATTTCGTTAGATACTCATCATTTCAAACGTCATCTCAAACCATTACATAGAGGGATACATAATAAAACAAGTATATAAGACATTTGATGCTCCGACAAATCAAAAAAAAATTATTCCTTCAAATGTCAAGGTACGGATTACAGATATCAGAGCGATAGTATGCATTGGATACGTAAATTTACTGGCATAAATTTGAAGATTTTTGTTTCGCAAAGTGTAATTGAGTAGAAGATGTAAAGGAGGCGATAAGGTTTGGAATTCTGTAATCAGAGAGAGCATTCCGAGATTGTCATTCAAGATTACAAGGCAGAAGAACAAGGTCTAGCTTCTCTGTGATACCACTACGCCTTTTCTCTTTTCTTTTTCGCTGATACAAATGATATTTTTAATTAAAATCATTTTATTCTTTTACGTCACATTGCAGTGTTGATTCATTTGGATTTCTCTTCACAATAGTGAAGGAAAACAAAAATAGAAAGCAACGTGGTACTTTTTCTTTTTGTTTGTTCTCTTGATTATCGTTCACATAAATTGTATTTGAATTCTACATATTGAAGAGTTTTGTATTAATTTCACTATTAAAACGTATTAGTAGGTAAAATCGTACTTGATATATTTGAATATGTATCACCATATGATTTATTTCGATCATTCATTAATCTCAATAATTGTTTAAATACTATTGTTTATTCATATTCACTTCATCTCAATTTTCGATCAATATCTCAATTAGAATTTGACTATATTTGTCGTCATTTACAACCAAAACAAGTCATCTCAATTATATCCTCTGATGAAACTATATTTCATCAAGTTGAAATATTTGAAGAATATTTTCCATTTTTCAAACATTAATTTATTCATCTTCAATCTGTAACGTTCATTAAAGTATTTTCTTATACAATTGATTTACCGAGATCTGTTAAATGTCTTGAATTTAGAAAATATGATATTCATAAAAGTATTCATTTTGATTTTGATAAATTACTTGCACAACAAGCAAAAGTTTTGACTCATTTAAAAGTTCATAGAATTGGTACATTCAATCGTATTGATACTCAATATCCATTTCTTACTCATTTGACAACTGATGGTGAGTTTATTTCTAACGAAGATTGTTATATTCGATTTAGTAATAAGTATAGAAATATTAATATTACTTCAGTTTTTCAAAATTTCGAAAGTTCAATTACACATCTTTATCTTTTTATTCATAAAGAAAATAAAAATATGAAAATAAATCTTGAACAATTTTCTCATTGTCTTACTCATCTTACACTACATTTTGTCGAAGGTAAAAAAAAACAAATACTTAAATGTTCTATTATATATATATATGTTTTAATTCTATATTGTAGAAATTGTTGTATCATTTCAATCTCTTGAACAATGTCTTTTTAGTTTACATCAATTAACACATCTAACAGTTCAAGCAAGCGATAAAAATGATTTATTTGATGGTAATCAATGGAAAAATTTTATTTTAAAAACAAACATTATTATATTCAATTTTTAATTTCAAATTTTGAATCCTAATAAAGATGTATCAATATTACTCGAATCATTTCGTTCATCATTTTGGCTTAGAGAAAAACATTTCTATGTTGAATATCATAATGATGACGAGAATGACCAAACATTCTTATATACAATAACTTGATTTCGATTCAAAGATATTATTTATCCTTCATCTAATTTTGCACCGATAATAACAGTACCGTCGAATATGGAAAAATATTTATTTTATGAAAATAAAATTGATTCTTTATTAATTGACATTGATCGGCTTATAATATCACCTATTCATCGTTTTACACAAGTCAAATCATTAATACTTTGTGGTTCGACACTTATGTCATTAGATGTTCTTAAAACAATAATGGATTTTAATCAAATAGAAAAATTTGATTTTTTTCTTATTGAATCATTATCAACATATGAACTTAACATATTAATAAAACATTGTCCTAGATTAAATTATCTTATTATGGATTATAATCCATTGTTTGTTAGACTATCACAAATTCATACTCTTAGGTTAGATGTTGATTTTCTATCGTTATCTATTGATAATCTTTGGCATACCGTACAAAATGTTAAAGCTCTTGAAATTTCAGTTAATTCAAAAGATATGATGCTTGATATTGTAGATCAATTTGATGATATTGATAATTTTCTATTCTCATGTGATGAGTTTTCAGAAGATGAATATTTAGAAGTCTTCATTGAAAAGTTGTATCTTCATTGGTTAGAAGATAATTCGTATCGTCTCGCAATGAATCATTTTACATATCGACAAGGAGAAGAATATCAGCAAATTCGAATGTCGATTGATGATTCAAAAACTAAAAAATATTCAGATATTACACATTGATTAACTAAATAACTGAAAATTAATATTTAAGAATGCATTTTGTATTAGGCTTTCATAATCATTGTTTCCTAGTAAAGTATAAGTTAGTTTCGTTTCAATTATGAATATTTTTATTAGATCAAACATTCATATAGACTTTTATTTAAGCTCATTGAAAAGCTATAGTCTATATATATATCAATATAGGTATTTAAAATGGGGATTTTTAAAGTTAGTTTCTAAATGATAGAATGTGAATGTTGATGTGGCCAATAATTTTTATCCTGCTTACATACAAACGTCTCAAACTGATTTGTAAATGTGTGACTTGCTTGAACTTGTATATGATGAATTGTGATAAGTATCGATTAAACAAACAATGCTATTTTTTCGGTAGAATTCTTTTGCATTTCGTTGTAAAAAATTTTTAAAAAGAATCAAGTTCGTTGGTTTTAAAAAGTTTATCTTTACAAATGGACTATCAAAAGAGCAGATACAATTCAATAACATGTCTTTTACTGCGTCTCAAGTCTTCTAAATAATCTTATAAGTTATCATACAAAATGTTCGTTGACACACATTTTCAAAATTGAGTACCAATCTAATAACCTTCGGCGCTTATGTCACGCTTTCTAGAGAAGCAAATGATTCATTTTTCATTTAATTCAAAAAAATTTATATATTCAACATACTTAAGTGAACTGATTATATGCAGGTGTACAAGCAAAAAAAGTGGATGAGAGAATGCTAAGCAGCTAGATCAATAGTAGACCTTCAATTCAACACATTTTGTTTTAATGTTTTCTTCGTCATCTTTTTATCTGCTTTCAATATGCAGACTCGAGCTGATATTACTAAGAGAATATAGATCTCAATGATAATTCATACACATTTCATAATGTTAAAGATTTTTCTGAATTGAAATGTTTCGATCTCAGAGAAGGTCAACTTAAGATGATAGCGCTATTTATATTGTTAATATAGATGCGAATACTATTGGATGTATTCACATTCTGTCAACATTCAGCATATGTGTTGCACAGTTTTTTTGCACTAACTAAGATTGGTTTACCAGCAATCGAACAACGATCAGAAACCAACTATCGGTATGCTGTAATAGAATGCCAGTAACAGAATTGATAACCATTAAAACACTAAACTACAACTCGCTGATTGTCGTTTTACCAGCAGCGTTTTATGTAGTCTTAGTCAAATGAGTATAGTAACAAGTAGATTACACTATGTTGTTTCTTTTCTTCTTAAAACTCCATTTTTACCGTATGTTAATGGTTTTTAAATAATTGCTGTTTACTATATTGTCTGCTTTTCTGTAATGGCAATATCTTATGCTAGAAGAATAGTTGTTCATCAGACTATAAAATATTACAATATTAATAGTAACTCGACGGACGTCTTTCTAACATATGAGCCTTGACAGTTGAACTCCTAACACTTTGGCTTAACACAATGAACAAATCAAAAAGTACGAGAAAGTAATATTCCTAAATAAATATGTCTAAATTCACATCCTGCATTGACTCTAAAACTGTCACCCATTTGAAGTATGAGTCTTTTTGGTTATCAAATGAAAAGTCGAAATAAGTTGTTGTAACTTTTCATCAACAAATTCATATTTAACACGTTTCTCTAGCTTTGGTTGTCGGTATTGATCTTCTCTTCAGGATGTGCATGTTAGTGTTTGACTAAAAAATGATAATAAGGATTCCCACACTTACGCCGGTAAATGAATTCGATAACGGATCTAATCAGATCCGACCAACTGATAAAATCCTATGGAAATCAACGTTATGAAAACACTATCGAATCCGACAGTTGCAGCCTATTTAATTAGTTGAGTACTAATTAGGATGTGACTGTAGCTATAGATTATTATGAGTATGGAACTTATACTCGCTATCACTCACACTCACATAGCCAAGTCCGATATCCACATCCTAATGTTTCAAAGAATATTTTCTAACTTTACGTTCTCGAAATTATTGCGACACAAATTGTCAACTTTAGATACACATGTTTAACTAATATTAAATAAAGAAAGAAAGAAAGTGAACCCATGACGCATTACTATAGTTCATCATCTGGCATAATAATCTTGGAAGTCTCATTTTGTCGAAATATGTGATGTTAAACGCGGTTTTGAAAATAAGATTGTAATTATTGTTAAGAAAAAAGTCAGAAAAAGTTGAACTTATTAATGCTATATGATAATATTATTTTCTTTTTGTCTTCCTCCATGATGAAAGATAACTATATAACAAATAAAATATTGTTCTTCAAATGAATACAGGCGATCAAAAAAATAATCGTTCACCATGTCTGATTATTTTATCAAAATAAACGAGTGAAATCGAATCAAAAATAAAAATTTTCCGAGCTCGATAATTTACGAGACTTATTGAGTAAAAGAAACTAATGAAAAAAGTATAGGTAAACAAATAGATGTGTCGAGCAAATGTGCGCCAAACGTATTCGATTTTTACATTTTTTCAATTCTCTCATTTTGTCTTCACCGCCTTATGAGCACAAAGAGCAAAAGAAAAGGTAACGATAAATACTACTGCTTGCACTAAAGTAAAATATTATTTTCTTTTTTCTTGTCACCTGCTTTTGAATTGTGTGTGTGAACGAACATACATATATTTCGTCTATGCTTGATGATAAAAGAAAAACATGTTTCCTTAAAAAATAATATTAAAAAAATTTTAGATAACATGGCGAGCAGTAGTATAATGTCTTCTCCTTGGCTTTCGACCATTCTTATAGTAGTTTTGATCTCTCTCATAATTAATTCATTTTCTTATCTTGACTACTATGAGTATGATTTTCTTCGCCGTCGAAGCACAGGCCGCGTTAATCTTGATCGAATTTATGAAAGTGGACGATATTTTTTTGGACCAGATTATACGTAATCAGAATTTTTGTTGTTAAATGATTTTACTATATTTTCATTTATCTAGTTTCAAAATATTCAAAGCTTCAGGATATCACGTCAATTTTAGTAATACATCGGTTTTTACGACAGATAACTTACAAGTTCATCTAGTGAGTCAAAATTACATATCTATAAATTTTGTAAGTTGAATTCATCGATCTCTGTACACAAACAAACAACTTCCTACTGAAAATTTAACGATTTTTTTTCTCTATTATAAACAGCAATTCATTTATGTGAAATATCAGACTAATTCATAACAAAATTTTCAAATATTTTCATTATTTTCATTAGATATAGCTATAGTCATACCTGTCATCACTTGTAAACCTCAACGAATATTCGTTTATGTGTAAAAAAAAATGGTTCTTTCTTAATAATAGTGATATAAGCAGAAGAAACGTGATAATTAAAATCTCAAAATCGACCAATATTTCTTTAAGAAGTTTTAATAAACTACACACTCATCACATATAACGTTGCACAGTTATAGAAAGTAATACGGACCATTCTCTATATCCACACTCAGTGTGACACCGGGTGCAAACTCACTGGATCAGTTCAGATCCCGAAGACAATCTCAAACTCAAACTAAACTTAGCAATTAATGAGACTCCCGGCGTTTCAAAATATTTTTACTCTTTTAAATTGATCAATTATATAAAAGCATCGGAATGAAAATCTGAGCAATCCTTTAAAGATGATGAAGTAACTGAATACATGGAGAGGGAAATGAATTATTATGATTGAAGACCCTATGAATGTATATATTCACAATCATGACATTTGACATCAATCTTTCGTTCTATTGCAACGTCATCAGGAACAAGAAAACATACATCATGAAAGTATCTGTCGAATATCAGTTAGCTCTGATTGGGTATCAAGTATAGCTATTCGGATTCGGCTGTGAAAAGTTATATTCGTGTGGAATATTAATATTTTTTTCAGAAAATATTTTTTCAATATTATCTTATCAAAGAAGATTTGCCACTTCTTCACGCTGCATATGATATTAAGTATGAACCAATGATTACTTTGAATGCTAAAGAAGCAATTATATCAACATGTTCTCGATTCGATAGTGATGAATTTATAAGTAATCGAAATAAAATTTGGCTTGAAATATATTTTGGTGTTAAACGTCATTTAGGTAAATGAACAGAATTCGTATAACTATAAATAAAATAAGCAATATTCTATATAGGTGGTACTTGTCGCATTCCTAATTGTAGAAAAAATTGTCCAAAATGTCCAATACATGAACAATGTGTGTTGCATGGTAATGAATTGAAAATTGTTCTTTTTAAAAAAGAAGAAAATCCAAATTCTTTTTGCGTTAGATATCGATGTTCCTGATCGTGTCATAGAACGACGCCTTCTTGATTTAGTTCGTGATTTAGAAAAAGAAAAAGAAGAATATGTGAATCAAGAAGCTCTTGTTAAAAAACAAACTGATACTTTAGTATATCAATTTCATAATAATGCAACACAAGCAATTGCATTTTCTGAAGCTCAATCAAAATTAAAACGTGAAGAAGCTAAAACTGATACACTTAAAAGTGTTGAATTAGCTCGAATTAATGGTTTATCATCTATGTGCTCTAGATTAGATGTTAGACAAGCAAAGCATGTTGCTTCTCTTGAATATTTACAAACATTAAAAGATTCAAAAGATAATATTACATATTCAATTGATTTCAATTATGCTATTACACAAAATTCAAAATTAACATAACAATAATATTTTGATTACTTTAGCATTTCATCTTATTGTACAAAAACAAAAACCAGAAAACGAACTATTCTACTTGAAAGGAATAACATTAGCTTATATTAAAACAGTTCCATTAGTTGCAGAATCTTTATTTTTTGTTCAATGTATTCTAATAGATAATTGATTTGCAAACAGATAATAAACTCAGTTGAAGATTTAATTTTGTTTGAAAAAGTTTCTCGATGAAACTAAAGCCATAGAATATCATATAATTTAGTCTTTATTTCTGAGCCTTTACATTAGATTTCATAGTAAATCATATCTCGCCTTTCTTTGTCAAAAATTAATTGAATGTTTTGAATCGAACGTCTAGAAAGAAAAATTGTTAGACATTTAGGATGATTGACGATGAACAGATACGTTTTGCATGAATAGTTATTGTAGTATATAACTATAATGTAAAATATCCGCATGCGTTACATGTTGTTAGTCTGTCTTTTTCTCATGATTTAAAATTTGTTTACTATTATAAAGAAAATTTCAGCTGCATTTATCATAGTGTATAACTTATATATGGTTTGTATTTATTCAAAATGAACAATGAAAATGGTTCTAATTTAAACTGAGTATACTATATGATTTTTGCAACCATCTTTTGTGTATTCATCAAACTGTTGATTACAACGAGTACATGTTTTATAATGGTTTCGTCTGATTTCAGCACTTCTGGTATCACGTGCATCATCTACAGCTTGCATAATCACATCAATCGAAAATAAACATATATATCCAAGTTAAGATGAAAAAATTGATGCAAATACCGTACATCGTCTTACACTATACTTTGGATCTGCTTTTGAAAGATTGTCAAATTTAAAATTGAGATTTTTCGTGGCATATTCATTGTAGACCGATTTTCTAATAGTTAAACTATTATTAACTGTAAGAATCAGACTACTGTATTTATTTTCATCGTCAATAAGATTGAAATTATCGTTATTGTTTTCAATGTATGAACACACTTTTTATTATGTTTTTTTATGAAAGTAGCATCTCTACAGCAACGGTAATACAGACAATTACTTCATCAGCAATACTGTTATTCGATCGTCCGTATTCCGTCATTTTTTCTCTTAATAAAAAGAAATGACAGAATAAAAGAAACGAGTGAGAACAGAATAGAAAAACTTGCCGAGAATATCATCAGTGGTTTTCAACGTCAATTCATATTACATACAGAGAGATGCAAAGTGTGTTCACGATCGTCATTAGTTTTCTTTCCTGAATGCATATTTATAATTTGAAATGTTCACTCAAATAAATCTAAGAATGAGAAATTTTTCATTGCTAAAACATTTGCTATGCGCGTTATCTATATGCGTTTTATTTGTGTTTCTTTTTATTTTCCTTCGAGTGTTGTAATATAAAACATGTATTAAAGAAGAGGGTCCACTACTGGTTTGTTATCCATTGATGGTTTTTGTTTTCAAGCAAAAATTCAATATTAACATAGTATCTTCAAAATATAGGTATTCTGAGGAAAGAATATATATATATATTTGAGATTGCATTAAAACCGACTCTAGCTTTCAGTCTCTTTTTATTTACAGTGTTTCGATATTATATGATGAAGTGGCCTCTACCAGTCAATGTGATGGAAATCGATACTTGTTCATATGAAACTAAAAGGACACAATCGAATAAGCCATAATCATTTTATTAAAAATAAAATGGTCACATTTATGAAATTATTGTTTTAATTCTACGATGGTTGCCATGTCCATGTACCATATGAAGGATCTTGAGTAAAAACACGAACTGCATCTGTATGATCACATGGAGTACAACCTGGGGAATCTTTTTCTTGCTGTCGACAACAAACCCATCGACCTTCTATAATAGAACCACCAACATAGTATGCTCGATGGTTTTTGCACCCACCCTGTGTGTATTCGTCAAATTGTTGATTACAACGGGTACATGTTTTGAAGCGATTTTGTCCAGCTTCAGCACTCACAGCATCACGTGCATCATCAAGCAGACAACGTAATTCAAACAATTCAGCTGAACAATCATCAACAACATCTGGTGATTGTGCTTGAGCAAGTTTTCGCACAGCTTGCATAATTACATCTATCTAAAATACAAATGCACTACAAAGAATCATCTCTAAATCTTCAAGTTATTTTTACTGTTGGTACTGAGTTAATCAATGTTTCTAAAGCACTATATGAGAAAATGTCATATTGAGGAAATCCTTGAATTGCTTCAAGCATCCATTGTTCCATTTGAATATTTGGCTCTGTTCGAATAACAACAAATGCTTTTCCACGCTTAACACCATATCGAAATTCCATTTTACAATTAGCAGATTCAATATAAGCTTTAGATAGAAAGACAAGTAACACTTTAGCACATTCCACACCTAACAAGCAAATACAAATATTATGAAAAAGCAAACAACATTCTTTTTCAATAGATAAACCTGTAGCCATGGCTTCATTAGTATTGCCTTGCATTGAACCCCAAATATCAAACCATGTACTAATTTCACGCATTGACATATCTTCATAAAATTGGCGAACAAGACGTTGACTATCCCACTGATAACTACATATAAAATATTCACAAAATAAAGTTTCTTTGACTTCGTCTCAATTACCTAATCATACAATCGAGTTCTCTTCGTTTTGGTAATCCATATTCGTCGAGTATGGGTGACGGTGCTTTCATATCCATACGTGTGATTGAATGATGAATATGGGTAAAATTAAGCTTAGCACTTGGTTCTTCTAGTGTGACACGAATTGGTTGTCGATCAGCCATTAGATTTATTGTGCGTGATTTACGAGGAGGTGGCCATGTTCGTAATTTACTTTTACATTCTTCAATCTTTCCTTTTAGTACTTTCATCTCTGCTTGTTCACGTTCAGCTTGGCTGAGAGCTGGCCGACAGGCTATCTTTTTGTTTTCATAAGAAAGATTTTAATTAAGAACTTATTTTCATAGCTTACTTCAACTTCAACACGTAAATCAATCATACGATTACTATCATAGAATGGTTTATATGCATTTTCTTTATCAAATATTCGAAAAAAAGTACATCCAGCAATTGTTAAACCAAGCCAATCTTCAGGTCTCCAGTCTTTGACAGCTATTACAGGTACAATTGGTTTTCGAAGTCGACGAGCTTCTTCAAATGTTGCTCGACAAATTGGTGTTTGTTCAAGTTGAGGTGAAAGAATTGGTACAAATACAGTACATCGTCTTATACTATACTTTGGATCTGCTTTTGAAAGATTGTCAAATCCAACATTTAGATTTTTCGAAATGAATTCATCATAGACCAATTTTCCAACAGTTGCACCATCATCAACTGTACAAATGAGAATAGTACATTCATTGACACCATCAATAAGATTGACATTATCGTTATTGTTTTCAATCTATAAATGATATTGATAAATTTTATTTTAAGTTGTTCCTGAAACATACTTTTTCTGGATCAACAACATTTTTGGCACTTTTCTTATTCTTTTGAGTTGAAATAACATTTGATAATTCTGTTATAACATTTTGTGATATACCATCATTTGTCAATATCATTGATCGAGCAGCACTAGCTGCGATGGCACCTAATGCACCATATGGTTGAAAATTTGATTCAGCTGAAATGGCAATTATTGGTTTTCGAATATCTTTTGCATAGTTGATAGTTTCCATGCAAAAGAATGTTCGTTGATACGTTCGACTAATAAAAACGATAAATACATCACACCATCGAATAAGATTAGCTCGAGCAACTATGGATTGTGGTGTTGTCTCAGTAAGAACATAGCATGTAAAGTTTTGATTTGTTAAACCTCGTCGTAATTGCTCGACAATATTTTGTTGATTAGTGTGACAAGTGATGAGAACATTTTTTCCAGCTAAAATTCAAAATATCTAATACAATACACAGGTTAACTTTAGTTTAACGGAGATTACCTGTTGACATTTTTGGTGTGCTTGGAGCACTTTTTATCGTTTCTTGTTGTTTCTGCTGTTGTTGTGTTGGTGGTAACGTAGGTGCAAAAGCTGCGTTAGAATTGAGTTGTGCGTCAGCAACGCTGTTATTTGACGCTCCGCAACCCATTGAAGAGTTTTTTAGTAATTGACAGCGACGGAGTAAAGGAAAGAGAAGAAAAAAAAAACGAGTAAAAGAACTATGTAGAGAATTACATCAACGATATGCAATAACACTTCGTTGTTTATTTGTTGCTGGCGACTGTCGTCATTTTTCTTAGTATTTTTTCAAGGACATGTTGCTTTTTTTTAACGCATCTCAACAAAAAAAACAGTAACATTGACCTAGATTTAAAATATTTATTTTCAAGTGGCACTGCTCTTGATCTGTGGTCGAGAAGTCATTTTTTTCCTAGGGTTTTGATAACGTCTCAAAAGATACAGAAACATATTGTATACAAAATTCGGTAACTAATTAACTTCTACAATACTGTTCACCAATTAACAAAATCAATTTACTACCAAAAAAAAAAATAACGCTTGAGAATAATTAAAGCTTTCTAGTAATGTGTCGCTGATTAGACAGAAACTTAATGTCCGAAAAATAATTTTTTTATTTCATGGAAGCTCTTCAAATCCTTTATCGATTAAGGTATTGTCTCAAAATTCTAAAACATTAGCAAAAAAAGTTAGCTAATGCCACAATTGTATGTAAGTTTTAGTTATTTTCATCTATCCTGTTCCGATATTGAGATATTTGACAGTAACTGAATTGGTGTTGTTGTAGGTTGCTATTGTGTCAGAAAAAAAATACATGAGATGTAGTCTTACATAGAAAGAATCCATAGAAGTATATGTTTTATGTTATACGAAGGACATATATTTCACTTGATTATGTAGTTGCAATCAAAAATTTCCTATACTATAATCTTAATCATAATGCTTTTTCGCTTAAATGAACGATTTTCTTCTACACAACAGTTCGTTTCATATTCTATGCGATTGAAAAACAGTAG